GAGATCATCGCCAACGACCAGGGCAACCGTACGACTCCCAGCTACGTAGCATTCACCGAGACAGAGCGACTCATCGGCGACCCGGCGAAGGCGCAGGTGGCTCTGAACCCTGAGAACACAGTGTTCGGCTCCAAGCGACTCATCGGGCGCACCTTCGATGACCCCAAGCTGCAAGACGACCTCAAGCACTTGCCCTTCAAAGTCATCAACGTGAACAACGTGCCAAAGATCAAAGTAACCTACAAGGGCGAGGAGAAGGTGTTCAACCCGGAAGAAATATCGGCCATGATACTCGCCAAAATGCGGGAGGTCGCCGAGGCGTACCTCGGCAAGAAGATCACGCTCGCCTGCGTCACGGTGCCAGCCTACTTCAACGATTCGCAGCGACAGGCGACCAAGGATGCTAGCACTATCGCTGGTCTACATGTACCCAAAATACTGAACGAACCGACGGCCGCTGCACTGGCCTACGGCCTCGACAAGGTGACCAGTGGCGAGAAACTCGTTCTCATATTCGACCTAGGCGGTGGCACGTTCGACGTTTCCCTTCTGTCCATCAAGAACTCTCAGACGTTCGCAGTGCTCGCGACGGCAGGAGACACGCACCTCGGGGGCGAGGACTTCGACAGCCGCCTGGTGGACTACCTTACGGACGAGATCAAGCGCAAGTTCGGCACCGACATCTCCAACAAGGCGCGTGCCGTGCGTCGACTGCGAACCGCAGCCGAGCGGGCCAAACGCACTCTCTCTTCTACTGCGGAGACTAGCATCGAGATCGACTGCCCTCTTTGACGGCACCGACTTCTACACTAAGATCACGCGCGCACGGTTCGAGGAGCTGTGCCTGGACCTCTTTAAGAGTATCCTGGGACCGATTCAGCGGGCGCTGGATGACTCCAAGACGGAAAAGATGAAGGTAGATGAGATCGTCCTTGTGGGAGGATCAAGTCGAATTCCACGAATCCAGAAGCTCGTCAAAGCGTTTTTCAACAACAAGGAGCCGTGCTGCAACATCAATCCGGACTGAGGCAATCGCCTATGGTGCAGCAGTTAGCGCCGCCCTGTCGGCCGGCTCCAGGGACGAGACCATCAAGGACGTCAAGCTTCTGGACGTGGCACCGTTGTCTCTAGGCATTGAGACGGCTGGTGGTGTCATGACCAAGATCGTCAGCCGTAACACCAAGGTGCCGTGCAAGACTTCTAAACCATTCACGACGTACTCCGACAACCAGACGGGAGTCACCATTCAGGTCTACGAAGGGGAGCGTAGCATGACCAAGGACAACCACCACCTGGGTCGCTTCGAGCTTGTCGGCATACCGCCAGCTCCTCGGGGCGTGCCCAAGATCGAGGTGACCTTCGACCTTGACCACAATGGCATTCTCAACGTGTCGGCTAGGGACGAAAGCACTGGGCACGCAAAGTCCATCCGCATCACGAACGAGAAAGGTCGGCTGTCCGACGCCGATATTGAGCGCATGCTCAAGGAGGCTGAGCTATACCGATTGGAAGACATCGCTCAGAGGGAGCAGGTTGCCTCAAAGAACTCGCTGCAGAGCTACATGTCCAGCGTCAAGCAGGCCGTCAGAGAGGTTACCAGCGACAAGATTTCTAACGAGGAGAAAGGAGGAAGTCCTGGCGAAGTGCAGGGAGGCCAATGAGTGGCTCGAGAAAAACCAGAACTTGGCGGCGGCGGACATACAGGCGAAGCTAAAAGAGGTTCAGGAGGTGTGCTCACCACTCATGATCAAGATGCACATAGGCTAAAGAATGGCTGTGAAACGTAAGTGGCAGCGGCGTGCTCTCGTGTTCATCAGTGGCCGGTGCGTCCCTACCCTCTCGCCTTCCTCACTGGTTGTCCTCGAAACGGTAGCGTGAAACTTAAAAGACAAAAAGTACAGCCACTCGCTTGTGTCCTCCGAACCTTGGATACCGAACGCCCGTACTTACTCGGGCCAACGATAATGAATGACCGGACAGCCATTTCGTGTAGAGCCAGTGGAAAGCAGCCCATGCTGAAGCGCGTGCAAGATGGTTGTTTACGGCGGGACGCGATCGCGAAGGCTAAACATTAAATTGATGACAATTATCCTCTATCATTTCGTCATTTTGATTTCCTAACTCACTGTGCCAGTACTTCCTCTGCAATACCTAAATTTAAAAAACAAAAGCTTAATTTGGTTTCGTGTATTGGACGCCGTTTAGCATTTTGTTGTTCTTAGTTTGTTTTTATGATTTTCTTACGTTGTTCATAGATTAGTTTACTCTTTCGCATTGTATAACGATTCGTTTTGTTTCGTATACACCTACGTACAGGATCTTCTTTACACGGATATATATGACATAATTTGTCATAGGTACCCCTGCCACAACTTGTGTTGAGTACTGGGGTCCCACCTGTATAAATGTAACACACTGTACTCCATGTTTTTTTTGTGAATAAAGTGATTGGTTTATTGAATAACTCATTGATTGATCGATCGATTGGTTGATTGATCTCTCCCAGGCACATTCGCGAGAGGGTTCTGTAGTGTTGCGCGTTTTCCCGAACCACGTTGTGCCCACTTAAATGCCCTCTGTGCACTCCAAGGAGCTATATTTGAAGTATAATACAACTGCGATAAAGATATTGAAGCGCCATAGAATTAACTGAATTCCTTGTTACAAACATAGTGCTTTGACCCGGTGCTCTCAACGTTGTTATCACAGACAAAGGAACTGCTTCACGGCCGATCTGTCGCAGCCTCATATAAGACTTACTCATAAATCCCACAGAAAAGCAACCGCACATCCCCCTCAAACAGATAGGTTAACCGAGTGACTCAATAGGAGGCTGATCGATATATTGTCCATTTTCGTCAACTAGGAGCACCATACGTGGTACAAGCAATATGCAATATGCCACATGCCCTTATATTGAGAAAAACCCTTAAGGTGACGCCATTTGATCTCGTGTATGGTCGAACGGTTACCACGTCCTTAAATGCAATGTTGTCTGTAAATGACAATGAAGAGCACAAGCCTCGCGAGGTCAAAGTTTCCGGAATCCTCAAATACGGCGTCTCTCATAATCATATGGTGGTTTTGGGACGTTAAACCCCACATATCAATCAAGAGCACAAGCCTGACGTGAGCGAGTTCACTTAGAGAGCCGAAGAAGCAGGGCAGTTGGCCCGACATCACATTAAGCAACAACAAGTCAGCCCGGTGGAAACCGATATAACCTGCGGCTGAGGGAAGTGTATTGTGCAACGGGTGACAGAGTTTGGAAGGGTACTCTCATATGGACGCCTGGTCTCTCCGAAAATCTTCTGCGTCGTTATTTTGACTCATAGAGAGCCCCACGTCGGATGGGCCCCTTAAACTACGAGGTTACACCACGAGGACAAGTCGGCTCCTCAAGATGCCGACGCCGCACAGAAACTGTGTGTGAGGTGAGGATGAAGCCATACTTTGATGGGCAATGCACCTTCATGCACTTCTAATCAGTACGACTACCACTTCACCGCCACCCCGTCCGAGAGCGCGCATCAGACTTGTCACCAGCATTACCACCGTATGCATCGGGACGATGTGTTCTTGTAGAAGGTATAATGACGCAAGACACCCCATGTTCGAGCTTCGCGCGTATCTTGGTGCGCGCTTCAACAGCCCGACGGCAGAACAAGGAAAGGCCGTGCCGGCACGCACCTTCTAGAACTGTGCGTACGGCAATGAAGAATAAGTGACGCGCTGCTCAAGACCTACTCGGAGATTGGTTCCTTTGTTTTGGGTCTCTTGCGTGGAGCGCTGCAAGCACATTTCGATTACTTTTCGCGCCCAAGTTCGCCCCATAATAAATAGCTATTATCAGATTGCCTGAATTGTGCATTACAATGCTTGGCATTGATTCAGATTCATGGCTGTAGGCAGAGGAGGGGGGGGGGGCGGCAGAAGGGGCACCCGACAGCCTACTTCAAGCACAAACCAGCCCCTCCCCTTCTCTTCTAAGCCACAACAGCGCATTCCTTACCCTCCACCAGCCGTTAGACAACACAACTTCGCCCCTCCGGACGTTAAATCTTGCTGACACCAATGTGCTTGTCTAATGGTCCATCGCTCACGGCCTGTCGACAACACTGACAGACCGTTGCTATGACCAACTGCCATATTCGAAGAGCATGAAAAAGGCACACTACGAAATACCGAACTGTTTTTATCGAGCCAATCGCACTTCGTAGTGCGTGACACAAAACAAAGTGACATAATTACGTATGTATTCGCCTTTAAAACACCTCAAGGCTGAAACCGCCCAGCTGGGACTATGTCGCAATCATGATCACCATCGTCATTATCGAAGCTTGAGAGATCAGATGAGTAGAACACAACCTTCACGATACTGTGACTTATGATGGTTATTATCATGGGGATGATAGTTTTAAGCTTCATTTATTGTAGTAGGCTCATAGCTTCCAAACACACACCTGCTACGTCATTCACAAGCGTAGCACCTTAAGCAGTGCTACGCTTTTTCCGCGGACTATGACACTGCCGCACTTGAGTGTGTATGTGTTTTTTTTTCTCTTTTTCGTTTTCTATCTCTTATTTTTTTGCCTCCTTAACTTCCTATACTTACCTAACCATTCTGCAGTGCAAGGTAGCAAAGCAGGAATTTTCTCCTGTTTAACCTACCTGTCTTTCATTCAACTTTTCTCTCTCTCTCTTCTACAAATATTACATCCATTAACGAAAGACAATGTACAGGGCCTTTTTTTTTTTCAAAGTGATTTGGAACAAAGGCATGGCTCTAAGGTAGAACCGATGACGGCAAGCAATACGCCTGCGTTAGATACCGGCCGTAACACTTCTTTTATACCCGTTTATATTTTCCCTTAATGTCACGTAATCTTGTTCCAAATGGGGCGATTTCCGAGGCCAGCGTCCAAGAAGGTACTTATGGCTTTCGCCTTAACGAGGTAGACAATTGAAAACGGTAAATCCGCGAGGCACGCATGTGTTACCTGACTTACGTGTCCCGGGCCTCCGTGTTGGGTGTAGGTGTCGGTGCTGGGTGGCATGGTGTACATGGCGACCCTCTCTCCGCACTGCATTCGGCGCATCTCCTCCAGATGCGCCCGGGACGACTCCGTCTCCGGAGAGTTGCGGTCTTGACACCTGCGTAAATGACGACAGCTGGTGTTGTGTGACAGTGCAAGGCAAGGGATGGTCAGAAAATTAACGTTTGCAATTCTTTCGCACAGGTTGGCATCTACGCTACTAGAACTCGACATTCACAAATGATTATAAGCCTTTTATGTAAAGTGTCAATTCTTTTAACTATTTAACTATTCTTTCTTTCCTGACTCCATAAGCGATTAGAATAACCTGTCTAACAAGGCTGTAATTCAAAGATCGTTCCTATCGTTTGAAGAGCGTTTGACTTGAAGTGTTCTTTAACCTGTTCTGACTGGTTTTCCACTGTATTGTAGTTGTTTTTTGCCTAAATGTACGTTTTTTATGTTTTTATACCCCTCTCTTATGATCGAAGTTGAATCATTGTGTCTATAAATAAATGAATAAATAAATAAATAATAAATAAATAAATAAATAAATAAATAAATAAATAAATAAATAAGTAAATAAATGAAGCGAGACCAGTCAAGCAGTTAGCTGTAAACGCTGTCCCGGAAGATAGAGGTATTCTACTCTATGAGGTTGGACCGAGGTATGTGCAGAGTTCCTCCTTGAGGGGAAAGCGGCGAAAGTTAGTCGCAGCGCCCTATTAGGTTAATCTACCGGGCCGACTTTGCACCCCCCCCCCCCCCCTTAGGTGACTAGGGGTTCAAAGAACCTGTGGTTAAGAGGTGACACTAAGAAGCGACTTCATTATAGATGCTGTTCAAAGATGATATTACAATAATAGTCTCACTAATAAACAATATAATAGAAAAGACAATTATTAGGCCTTACAAATTGTCTTTTCTATTAAATTGTGACGTTGTTGTTAAGGCTGGTGACCAGCCTTAACAACAACTTCATTTCGAGAACGTACAATTCAAATGAATCAAGCGAAGCAGTTTTATTAATAACAAAGTCAAGATGACCTACCACATTATGGTATGAAACTGTCTTAGCGGTAATCCAAAGGTAGCATGGCCCGTGCTTTAATTCTTGATATACAGAAATCATTCACTGTACACTCATATGTAGCTGCTTTTCTTCTAGAGCTCTAGCTCTACTCCTCCAAGTACATACAAACCCAGGAAGCGATCTAATTTCATGAATCTGGCCTTCCAGTTCAACCAAGGTCATGTCAGCGTATCTTAGCTGTGGCGCCGGCGTAGAAATTGTACGCACATTGTTCGCGAGATGGTGCGAAACTCTCCAAGATAGAATTTAAGGTGCGATTGAGAAAAATGGGAGAGGAGCGTGGGGCTAGGAAAGTTTTCAGTTACTTGTACATGAAGAAGGTCGATACTAAATGGCGGAAACAAACTCGAAAATTGTCAAGCAAGTATTTAGACAACAGCAGAATACCAAGCCAAAAAAAAAACATCGGTTAATAAGCAGGTGAAGCAAACAGAGAGGGACATGTGGAAGATGGGAATGCTTATGAAATTATCACTGAAGACCTATCAAACTTTTAAGCAGGAAATTGCAAAGGAAAAGATCTACGATAATTCTCGGTGTAGTTCTCTGCTCTTCGACGCTTGAATGGGAGTATTCCGGACCAATTCGTACCGAGTAAAATACGGAGCCACAGACACGGTATGTAGTGCGTGTGGAGAAGAGGAGAAAACGGCTGAACGTTTGATAATGTTCTGTAAAGGGCTCCACCTTATAGTCGAAGATGATGGTGCCGAAATTTCTAAAGCATTGGGATTTACAGGCATTAATAGCAAAATAGACTTTAAACAGGTAGAAATAACCAGGAGGATGCTAACTGACTGGTGGCTACGATCGAGGCACGAGTGAAATTCGGCGTGAGTGAAATTCAGTCCTTAAACACACAGTGATAGTACTTGACTTTATGGCTAGGTGGCGTGAGCCACCACCCGAACTAAAGGGCACAGCCGGATTCATCCATCCATCCATCTATGCGCTAAGTGGCGTGAGCCACCATCCGATCTACAGGGCACAGTCAAATCCATCCATCCATCCATCCATCCATCCATCCATCCATCCATCCATCCATCCATCCATCCATCCATCCATCCATCCATCCATCCATTGTTCACATGCGTAGTTAGATGCGCTGTTGTGTTATTGTTTTGAAGTTTGAAAATTCTTTCCGGGTAGGTACAAAGCATACATAAACAGCAAGGATGGTGGGATAAAAGGTGTGTATAGGCAGTTTGACAGGTCCCCCTTCCTCGTACAATGGCAGCCGCAACACAACAAGAACTTCCACTTGTTCCATTTAGGTAGAAACACATACAGCAAAGTGATCGAAATCTGCAAGAAATACACGCTTTCAAAACACGTAGAAACAAGTTGTACATTCATAACATCTGTTGAAGTAATTCGTTCTTATAGGAACATAACGTATGCCTTCATCGCACAATTTATAGATGCTCTCTACAGTGGCGATCTCTGTCAGGGATGAACAGTGTATGACATGGCGTTATACGACATCGAGGTCACTTGTCGTTTCAAGTTGCCATATGTGATTGTTGCCTCAATATGAACGCATGATTGTCGCGTTGTCGCCTGTAGCAACGGCCGTGTAGCGATGACGATCACGTGGGATGAGGTCCCATTCCCGCCATGGAGGATGGTAAAAAGTTAGTAGGGACCACTGGGCAATTCGAAAGAAAGAAGAAAAGAGAAAGTAATAAACAGTCCGCATCGGTAGAACAGTGCCTACGGTACCTGGCTGCTGGCGCGAAGGTCGCAGGTTCAATCCCCATCACGGCGGCCACATTTTAATGGAGGCGAAATGGTAGAGGCCCGTGTACTTTGCACGTGCAATGTCAGTGCATGTTAAGGAACACCGGATGGCCGAAATTTCCGGAGCTCTCCACTGCGTCGTCCCTCGTAATCATATCTTGGTTTCGGAACGTAATATTACAGGTATTGAACCGAAATGGATTAAATAATTAACTCAGGCACGTGCATGCCGTGCTTCGCTTTCCCCCCATTTCGCCTGTCGTTGAAGGGTTCGCGAATTTTCCTCAAAGGCCACGTTCGCGTGATACGTACTAAGCTTTCGCCTACGAAAACCCACAAATACGTGCCTATTGTGGACACAGATGAAATTGATAATGCGCGATGAGTACCATTCAAAACGGGTTCATCAGTATGCTGTTTGCGAAAAGAATATAGATCTTGTAGAGGACTCGAGTCGCTTTCAGGAGAAAGGACTTCGTGTACAGAGAAAGGGCACCCGTCTAATTGCTCAGAAGACTTTGGTTTCATGTTCAGGGCGCTTGATCAAGGATGCAATGGTGTACAGTAGAATGAAACTTTGGGCTGGTTGGTTGTGCACCATGAAGTTCGTACAGCGCGAATTCAACACGGGGATACTACGGAAGAGACACATACAGCGCTTGTTTGTGTCCCTTCTTTAGTATCCCCGGGTGGAGTTCGCATTGTACGTATACTTCGTTGTACAGTAGCTTACGTAGTGCTGCAGTGCGGACACTCAGATGGTGGCCTTTGTTTGGACTTTTGGAAAAGTTCAAGCGCGAATGAAAGGACACTAGATGAAGACGCACACCATGAGGTTGCGGTTTCTAAATATGGAGAGAGAGAGAGAAAGATGAAGGCCGCGAGGGTAACCTCATACTAACATCCCGTTTGGTATACCCAGCATTCGGTTTGCTACCCAACTCAGCTGGTAGAGAATTGTAGAAGGTATTCTAAGGTGGCAGGTTCGGTGCCAAGCAGTGGGAAGTCATCTTTTCATCCACACTTCTCTTTTTCTTCGCATGCTTTCCACAACAATTACCCCCAATATCATTCCCTACACTTTCATTAGCATCATTGTTTGTTGGTTATAATTACTGTTCATTCAGAGTGGTTCTATTAGTGCTCTGAAGTTTACACAATACAAATAGGAGGCCTCTTCATACTGGTGAAATGGGCACAAGTAGCCTGCTGTAATTGTCTGACACACACACACACACATTTATATATATATATGTATATATATATATATATATATATATATATATATATATATATATATATATATATATATATATATATATGGAATAGATGGCACAGTAGGAATAAGTAACAATGAAACAAACATGGCGTATTAGCGAGGCCACATCTCACACATCTAGCGTCACACGAGTCGACAGGATGAAGATCTGGCCGCTGCTCATCAGCCTAACATCATTCACGAAGCCACCGGAAATACGCCTGAACTGAATATCGACCGCCGAAGAGGTGATCTCAGGCGCATGCAGTTACCGGCATCATGACAGAACCATCGACTGACCTTCCCGTCCTTAAGTACACCGGAGCAGCGGACGATGGACCTGTACAGGATTGGCTCGACCTGTTCGAGCTCCACACTACCGTTGCATCATGGTCGGAACGGGGAGATGGTTACGAACTTCAGGGACTACGTCTCTCGGTTAGGCATTTAAATTTTTTCTCACCCACATATTCAAAAATGACAAGTCTTGGCAAAAGATAAAACAAGAAATGATCATCTGGATTCAAGACTATAATGAAGATTCAATTATAACACGCACTGTAAGTGCATTCGAACTCAGTCATCGTGGTCATAAGCAGCCTTCACGCATTCGAGCACAGAGCATGAATTTACAATTCCCGTCAGGTGAAGTTAGCCACATGCTCACGGAAAGACCACGCGGTCGTTTTCCCAACTTTCCACCTGGTTCCTCATCTGCGCAAATATTGCCAATGCTTAACTCTTTGCTGCATAAAAAATTTAATCCCCTATTGATGATTCAGATGCATTGAATACTTCGTGCCATATACGTACTTTGCAAACTGACTTGTCATCACTTGTCATCAACATTACTGATAAACCTGATGGAGCACCTAATAAGATCGTCGCATTTACGCATAACGAGTTAGTAAATCCACAAAAAACCAAACCAGACAACGAACGTTGATAGAAATCTCATTCATTCAAAGTATCCACCTCAGCAGTTCCACAAAGACAGAAGCATTTACAATCAGCATCTTGTAAAGAA